TTGACAAAAAAACAGTAAGATTTTTCCATTGACTTTTGGATTACTAAAGAAAAAAAGCTTTGTGAGTTTATGATTCTTAAACATTTTGTTAATCAAGATAATCTTCATAAATGAAGACATTTTATGGCTTTTGAAACCCAAATATAATCGGAAGTAGTGAAAAGCTGATGCTAGGCTATAAACAAACTCCAACATGGTCACATGACTTTAACGTCACTCCCACTCAGCTTCCAACAACTCTTTCAGTTTTTAATATCTACAAGTTTTATAGGTGAAGTTTAAATAGCTAGCAAATGTGCATGTATAAATGCAATGATACTGTAAAAACAAGCAAACATTAGTGAGTAGATGAGTTTTCCTGTTTGGTGTGATAACATTTAATGTCCCTTATAACCTCTTTAGTCCCATTTAGCCACTTGTTAGTCACAGCCTTTTTCAAGACACTTTAAAGCTTAAAAAACACGAGTGGGATATTGTTGATGTATTTTATGTCATAGAAGAAAGTGTGAAAATATCTTGAGCTTGTGTTAACCATATACCTTATTACTGGCATTTAACAAAAACAAAAAAAAAAGTTAAACAAAAAAACTCATTTCTGTTTTATGACTCACTCCTGCATTTATGTTTTTAGGACTCATTCATAGTTTTTGCAATTGCTTTTGGTGCATTTGCACAAAAACACTTCATCCTTAAAGGACAGGACAGATACATTTTGTGGCAGTGTGCCATACCTTGTAATGTAGAAAAAAAAATCAATGCTGCGGTCTTAATGCCAACATGACCTTGCACGCATATGCTCACACAGAGGTGGGAATGCAGTGATTTAGTGTTGTAAATCCAGGTCGTCCCCATGAGTGAGCTTTGAGCTCTGGAATACTCAAATCAAAAAGAATGTTTTGAAAGAGACATTATCTGCCAGGGATTTGTCTCTTTATTCTTGTTCATTCTCTCTCTCTCTCTCTCTTCGTGACCCACACTCTAAATGAAGTTAGTACACCGAATAGAGCGGAGGTCTGAAAGCTCAGTGTTAGTAATCTCAGTCACTCTCAGATAGGAATTTCCTACCATCAGCTGCCCCATTTCCAGGGGCCTTTGGTTGCTAAATGTGGAGACTGAGCTGAAGCCACTCGACAAGACTGATGGGATTTATTCAGATGATGTCTGCTTTATCCGCCAATGAGTTTGAGAGGTCCTAGTTTGAGAAATGCTTGGAGACGTCATCATTTAATTTACTCTACATTTACAGAACACATACTGTACACTCACAAAGACACAAAACTTTATTGTTGTTGTTTTTTTAGTGTTTTATTTTAGTTTTTAATTTCTGTTTATTTTATTTAGTTTTACTTAGCATGACATGACAATAATAATCTTCATATTGGCCAGAATTTTAACACCTCTCTTTATCTCCTTGCACTGGCTACCGGTCGCGGCTCGAATCAAGTTCAAGACATTGATGCTTGCATATAGAACAGCCACAGGCTCAGCACCCGCCTACTTCCACTCACTACTACGAATCTACATCCCCTCCAGAAGTCTGAGATCCGCTAGTGAGCGACGCCTCGTGGTACCATCACAGAGAGGCTCAAAATCACTTTCCAGAACATTCTCGTTCACCATTCCTGGCTGGTGGAACGATCTTCCCACCCCTATCCGGAATGCTGAATCCCTGACAATTTTCAAGCGACAGCTGAAAACTCGTCTCTTTCGAAGCTACTTGACTTCATCATCATCATTATAAAAAATAAAAAAAATCTCTCTTTATTTATTCCTTCTCTTTCTAGCTTGTACTTATTTGAACAATGTCTAGAAACTTGGTATTACAAGCACTTCCTGTATCTGTTTGCCTCTTTAAGAAGAATCGCTTTATGTATCCCCAAATTGTAAGTCGCTTTGGATAAAAGCGTCTGCAAAATGACTAAATGTAAATGTAAATGTAAATGTACTGGTGCATCCCTATTAGTTACCGCTGTTGCTTGTGTCATCTCCATTTGTGAACTTGTGAAAATTAATTACTTTAGGTTACTTTTTAGCTACAAAACACAAATTAATAATAGACTAACCTGAAATCTTTCAGCATTTGCATGTTTTTGACTTATCTGAGCACATATTTGTGTGTGCGAGTGTGGCAGAGTGTCTCTTTGATAGGCTCTATTGAGTGTTCTGCAGGAGGTTAATGGTGTAAGGCTAATGTGAGGCTCTTTCTGAGAGACACAAACCCAGCAAAGACTTCTTTCTCAACCTCAAGTGTTGCCCTTCTCTCTCTGTCTCTCCGCTCTGAAATGGCTGCCATTCACAAACACAGTATGTGTTAGAATGGGGAGGAGGGTTAGGGTGCATTTGGGAACGTTGCCCAGGTCTGCCCACTGTAGTGCATGTCTTTGTGTGTGCGCTCATTTATCTATGTAGTTGTGGCGTAGACTGTTTTGTGCTTGTTAGTGGGCCTTGAGAGTGTTTTGTATGTACATTCATCTGTGCTTAAGAGAGGTGCATATGCGTTTCTGTAAGTGTGTGCGCTTTAACATGTGTGCGAGACCCTTAATTAGGAATGTGGCATCTCGGTCTCAGATACGAGGTGTTGCATTCCTGCCTGCTAATCGATACCTCTTCTAAAGTCCATCAATGGCCTTCCGTCTAAGCGAGCGAGAGTTCAAGAGAGCCAGAAAGAGAAAATAGCGCTTCTTTTTTCTCCCAAGCAAAAGTGTTTTAGAGGAAAGGGCAGAGTGTCATTTGCCCAGACACTTGGATGCTCTTTTTTTTTGCTGGTTTCTTTCTGATTTTATCCTTTCCTTTTCTCCAGAGGCAGTGTGGCGGCGCTATCATTATATGCAAGATTTCACTATGTGTTTACTGTAGGAGTTCAGTGGTTAGCAGAGGCTATTTTAGCAGAAGGTCACAAGCTTGTGCTCAGCGAGACATGCTCGGGCTGTAAGTACCTCAGACTACGCAGACAGATCAAATAATGAAATCTTTGAGCAAAATTCATTTGCTTTCTTAGAAACAATGAGGCTAAACATCATCTGATGGCTAATGAAATGAGATTCCTGCAAACAGGACACGATTCATCCCAGTCCCCACTAGGCTACTTAACTAGCGTTCCTGAGTCCACTAACTTGATCTGGAAAAGCGATGTTGGCTGACCAAACTATACCATACACTATTAAAAATAAAGGTTCTTTATTGGCATAGATGGTTCCATGAAGAACCTTCAACATCCATGGGACCTTTCTATTGCACTCTATAGTGGAAAAATGTTCTTAGATTATAAAAATGTTCTTGACATTAAGAAAAAAATGGTTCTTTTAAGATATGTTCACAGAAAGGTTCCAGAATGGTTCTTCTATGGCATCACTGTGCAAACCTCTTTTTCATGGAACCTTTTTAAGAGTGTAAACCAGTCTAAACCAGTATGAAAATACATGGTTTGTTTGGTTATTCTGTCTTTCGTTCCTTAGTTTGATGATTCTTTCTTTCTTTCTTCACATTTGCTCTTGCATCTCCCAGCTTCAACGGTCTTGTTTTTCTTTTTCCAAAAATGGCTGAACTGTAATTTTCGTTGGCCACGCTTAGCCCGCAATGCAGTAGACCACTGTTTTTTTGGCCGGGGAAGAAATGGATTGTGGGTATGAACACGGGCGTCTTTTTAGCAGCATGTTCTTAAGGTCCATCCAGCAGCCGTACACCTCAGCATTACACACATATGCTCGTGTGTAATGAGATCTAGGGGATGGAGGTTCATTTTAGCTGAGAGATATGCTTTAGCTCAGTATACATCCAGTGTATGCAATATATATTCATGAAATTGTATTCAGTTGAGGAGAAAGTAAGAGTCATATCTGCGTATTCTGAACACCAAAACTTCTGGGAGACACTTAAAAGCTGCCTAACTTTGATTAATTCAGAATGTCAGCTAAGTATTATTACTTTTTAGCCTAACAGTGAAAAAAGTTCCTGTTAATTCCTATAAAACATGTCCTTATTTAAATATCCCTATTTACTCTCCTTTTCCATTCCAGTCAAGTTCTTGGTCTATAAATGTAGCTTTGCCTTTAATATAATGTTTTAAAGTGCAGAGATTTTGATGACTGCCCGCATTCAGAGTTTATTTTCATTCCCATGTATGACTGCAAAAGCAAAGGAGAGAGAGAGATGGTTTGCAGCCTAGCACAGTTTTGACCAGAAGCAGGAGGCGTGTTGCGGCTGGGCTATTTCTGCTGCCTGCATGTGCGCCATTGATGGCTTCTGGTTTCGGAAATCCTTTTTCTGCACGGTCGGCAGGCGTCTCTTGTGTGGTCGGGGCTGGCAACGTCTGCCGCGCTCTTTGACCCATCTAATGTACAATTATCTACAATTATACTGACGGAGAAACACAAGTCTTCTTATTATCTGCAATCGAGACGCTCTTTACAGAAACGTGTGCTCATATGCATTGTTGTTCGATCTCTGTCTGCCTGTTTATACTCTTTTCACTGGGTTCAGCACTTGAATTCACTTCCAATTGGATTTCTGTTGTGCTCAGATCTTATTTTCCTGTAATGTAAAGCCCTTGAGAGAAATCTTCTAAAAGCCACCACAGAAGAACCACACCCAGAACAGATTGAAGTAAATGCAGTGACGGTTGCATTGACATTTCACTCATCATTTCAGTGCTTGAAGGTGTTTATTATCAGCATTGTGTGTTTGGTTGAAGGTAGTTTGTGAGGTTTGTGTTGTCTGTTTTCAGGCAGCGTGAGTACATGTTTAAAGTGTGGTTGTTTGTTCAGCTTTAAAACAGTCCTGACACAAGCACAATGCCCGTTCTGCAGTTCTTTGCAGCTGAATCTGTGGTATTTAACGTTTGTGTGTGTGTGTGTGTGTGTGTGTGTGTGTGTGTGTTTTTCACAATATTGCACCCAGAAGCTAAATAAATCTGACAAAACCCCTTTTGAGAATGTCTGGGTACAAGATTGTTAAGATGCTAAGTTTTAATGTGGTTACAAATTGTGTTCATGTTTTTGCAGGTCTGGTCACCACCACGTCTCGGAAGCTGGACAGAGAACAACAGGATGAACATATTCTGGAGGTAAAAACACCTGGATACATCCACTGACCACAACACTCCTTAGAGCAGACAATTCTAGAAACTCATATTTAGAGAAGTCCTAAAAAGTCCCCTTTTTCATCAGTTTTTTTTTTTTATTCTTAAGGAATATTCTAGGTTAAAGTTAAGCTATTTGTATAGCTTCTGTGGTACTTTCCTTCTTTCACCAACAAAAATAGCATTATATTATATTAGCATTATATTAAATTATATTTTTTTAAACCTAAAAACAACTAAATATGCTACCATTCAAAAGTTTGGGGTCTGTAATAGGGCTGGGCGATATAGTTAAAAATGTATCAACGATATAATGTTTCATATCGTTCGGTATCGATAATTATTGACATTTTTATAACCGATTTTAAACCAAAAAGCAATAGAATAAAAATGTTTAAATTTAACCACTGTAGTTATAATTAACAATTTATTGAGACAAACAAATATTTTTTTGTTTTAACAAATCAAACACAATAAAAATTAAACGTATCTAATTTCTCATGTTTTATATGCAGATTAAATAGGTCTTTATTGTATAGGTCAAATTGTCTCCCGAGGCCACAGGAGGGCCAATGAGCAAAATGCAGCGCATTTAGCAAGTAACTCTATAAAATCATGTATTTATGCATTGCTTAATACAAAGAGCCAAATCGCCCATCACACAGATTGTCTTTAAAAACATATGAGACGCAGTGAAAAGGAATAAACCTCCACAAATTTGTGACGCGTTTTCTAAAAGTTTAGACTGTTTTAACTTTGCATGGCTTTCTATACATCTCTTCTGTGAGACTGTCACGGTGCGCACACACACGAGGAACGAGGAGATGCTGGAGAATACTTTACCAAGACTTTATTTTCAGGAACCAAGGGAGACGAACTGTGCTGTCTGCGTCACTCGTAGCACGTGCCTATATTGTGCGCTATATCGAACATTTTTTCTATCGATATCGAAGAAGGTGTACCGTCGATAAATACTGATACCGTTTTATCACCCAGGCCTAGTCTGTAAGATGTTTTAATGTTTTTGAAAGAAGCCTCTTATAACAACCAAGGCTGCATTCATTTGATCAAAAATACAGTTGAAACAGTAATATTGTTAAGTAATATTGCAATTTAAAACAACTTTTTTTCTGTTTTAATGTAATTTTACATGTAATTTATTCCTGTGATGACAAAGCTGAATATTCAGCAGCCATTACTCCAGTCATCAGTGTCACATGATTCTTCAGAAATCATTCTAAATATGCTGATTTGGTGCTTGGGAAACATTTCTTAATATTATCAGTGTTGAAAACAGTTCTGCTGCTTAATGTATTTGTGGAAACTGATATTTTTTTTTCAGGAATCGTGAATGAATAGAAGTTTCAAAAGAACAACATTTGAAATATTTTTTTTTTCTGTCACTTTCAGTTTAATTTCAGCAGCCATTACTCCAGTCATCAGTGTCACATGATTCTTCAGAAATCATTCTAAATATGCTGATTTGGTGCTTGGGAAACATTTCTTAATATTATCAGTGTTGAAAACAGTTCTGCTGCTTAATGTATTTGTGGAAACTGTGATATTTTTTTTTCAGGAATCGTGAATGAATAGAAGTTTCAAAAGAACAACATTTGAAATATATTTTTTTTCTGTCACTTTCAGTTTAATGCATCCTTGCTGAATAAAAGTGTTATTTCTTTAAAAATTCTTACTGACCCCAAACTTTTGAACTGTACCACATATTAAAATATAATGTAATTTGAATTTTCTGGTTGAACTTTAACATAGAATGTATTTTAAAGAGAAATCCTTGGGAGAAAAGTAAAAAAGGAGGAAAACAGATGAGCAAACAACTTTTAGCCTTGACTGTTTAGACCCAAGGCACAAGCCACCAAACTAAACTGTGCACGTAAGCGGACTGCATTCTTCCCCCTCCATTCCTTCCAAAGTGCTTCTGAGGGGATGTAGATATCCGGTGTGTGTGGAGGGTAGGTGTGTGTGTATATGCATGTGGGAGTTTGCCTTTGTTCTTTCTCAGTGTACCGTCTCGGGATTAGGCAGGCCAGAACAGGAAGTGTCACCCTGCCAAGCTAAAGTTTATACTTGTGGATTTTAATTGAGCTGCAAGCTTCTATCACCTTCTCTCTCTCCCTCTCTTTCTCAATAACTCTTTACCAACCGCTCCCTGCCTTCGCCAAAAACCCAACCTCAGTTTGCTGTTATTTCAAGTTGTGCACAGATTGATGCTTTTTTAATTATTGTTATAGATGCAAATTCAGTTCAAACCCTGTGGCATCTCATTAAATTTGGCAAATTTGCACCAGCCCTTACCAGTTCTTTTATGCCCATTTTTGTGCCCCAGGATTGTATTGTAAATGACAGGAGGGATGCGGACAGGAAATAAAACCAGGGAGGATGGTACACCCTGCAGCATACGCTTATCCAGTGTCTGTCCTCCCTTCTTCTCTCCATGCCTCAGTGATGTGAGGAGCTCCTCTTGACTTCAAAGCAAAGCCTGCTGACCGATAGACAGTAGGCTTGTAATTAGCTAATGCCAACAATTCAGCTAAATATTAGTAGTGCCAAGATCCCCTCAAGGTTAAATCTGTTCCTCTGGTTTGTAATTAACTAGGCTTTTTTTTTTTTTTTTAACTGTTGAGATTGGAGTTTGGTGGTGCGTGTAGTTTCATTCAACTTGGATGCCATATATTAGCTGTCTTAAGCGTAAAGAGCTGTAAGGAATGCTTTTCACCTGACATTGTCTTTTACCCTTTTAATTGCACTTTTAAATAGAAAAGCGACACTGCATAAATTGGTAGCCAGCCCTGACTTTAAACCACATTTATTGTCTCCATGGGTTTATGCACCTTGTTTTTAACACAAGAAGCCTTGCACACTGTAACCTAAATTTGCTTGAAATTGTCATTCGCTTACAGTTATTTTACCTGTACAAATGCATTCCGTTATGCTGCTTGATACCATGATGTTTAAAGAGGTCATATGACGATGCTAAAAATAACATTATTTGGTAATACCGATACCGTTTTATCACCCAGGCCTAGTCTGTAAGATGTTTTAATGTTTTTGAAAGAAGCCTCTTATAACAACCAAGGCTGCATTCATTTGATCAAAAATACAGTTGAAACAGTAATATTGTTAAGTAATATTGCAATTTAAAACAACTTTTTTTCTGTTTTAATGTAATTTTACATGTAATTTATTCCTGTGATGACAAAGCTGAATATTCAGCAGCCATTACTCCAGTCATCAGTGTCACATGATTCTTCAGAAATCATTCTAAATATGCTGATTTGGTGCTTGGGAAACATTTCTTAATATTATCAGTGTTGAAAACAGTTCTGCTGCTTAATGTATTTGTGGAAACTGTGATATTTTTTTTTCAGGAATCGTGAATGAATAGAAGTTTCAAAAGAACAACATTTGAAATATATTTTTTTTCTGTCACTTTCAGTTTAATGCATCCTTGCTGAATAAAAGTGTTATTTCTTTAAAAATTCTTACTGACCCCAAACTTTTGAACTGTACCACATATTAAAATATAATGTAATTTGAATTTTCTGGTTGAACTTTAACATAGAATGTATTTTAAAGAGAAATCCTTGGGAGAAAAGTAAAAAAGGAGGAAAACAGATGAGCAAACAACTTTTAGCCTTGACTGTTTAGACCCAAGGCACAAGCCACCAAACTAAACTGTGCACGTAAGCGGACTGCATTCTTCCCCCTCCATTCCTTCCAAAGTGCTTCTGAGGGGATTTAGATATCCGGTGTGTGTGGAGGGTAGGTGTGTGTGTATATATGCATGTGGGGGTTTGCCTTTGTTCTCTCTCAGTGTGCCGTCTCAGGATTAGGCAGGCCAGAACAGGAAGCGTCACCCTGCCCAGCCAAAGTTTATACTTGTGGATTTTAATTGAGCTGCAAGCTTCTATCACCTTCTCTCTCTCCCTCTCTTTCTCAATAACTCTTTACCAACCGCTCCCTGCCTTCGCCAAAAACCCAACCTCAGTTTGCTGTTATTTCAAGTTGTGCACAGATTGATGCTTTTTTAATTATTGTTATAGATGCAAATTCAGTTCAAACCCTGTGGCATCTCATTAAATTTGGCAAATTTGCACCAGCCCTTACCAGTTCTTTTATGCCCATTTTTGTGCCCCAGGATTGTATTGTAAATGACAGGAGGGATGCGGACAGGAAATAAAACCAGGGAGGATGGTACACCCTGCAGCATACGCTTATCCAGTGTCTGTCCTCCCTTCTTCTCTCCATGCCTCAGTGATGTGAGGAGCTCCTCTTGACTTCAAAGCAAAGCCTGCTGACCGATAGACAGTAGGCTTGTAATTAGCTAATGCCAACAATTCAGCTAAATATTAGTAGTGCCAAGATCCCCTCAAGGTTAAATCTGTTCCTCTGGTTTGTAATTAACTAGGCTTTTTTTTTTTTTTTTAACTGTTGAGATTGGAGTTTGGTGGTGCGTGTAGTTTCATTCAACTTGGATGCCATATATTAGCTGTCTTAAGCGTAAAGAGCTGTAAGGAATGCTTTTCACCTGACATTGTCTTTTACCCTTTTAATTGCACTTTTAAATAGAAAAGCGACACTGCATAAATTGGTAGCCAGCCCTGACTTTAAACCACATTTATTGTCTCCATGGGTTTATGCACCTTGTTTTTAACACAAGAAGCCTTGCACACTGTAACCTAAATTTGCTTGAAATTGTCATTCGCTTACAGTTATTTTACCTGTACAAATGCATTCCGTTATGCTGCTTGATACCATGATGTTTAAAGAGGTCATATGACGATGCTAAAAATAACATTATTTGGTGTATTTGGTGTAATGCAATGTGTTTATGTGGTTTAAGGTTTAAAAAACACATTGTTTTCCACATACCGTACATTATTGTTGCTCCTCTCTGCCCCGCCTTTCTGAAACGCATCGATTTTTATAAAGCTCATCGTTCTGAAAAGCGAGGTGTGCTCTGATTGGCCAGCTATCCAGTGCATTGTGATTGGACGAATACCTCCAGCGTGTGACAGAAATGTTATGCACCTTACCATATTTGGAAACACCGGGTCTTCACGACATGGCGGCAACAGCAACAATACTACAGCGAGAATAAAAGTTATGCCTTCTTTCTTTGAAACTTTAGTCTTTGCAACTTTACGAATCTTATATATGCACAAACAGCTTGTAAGGAAAGGAAAAAATCGCATCATGTGACCCCTTAAAAGCATACTTTTGGCTTGAGTACTAACCATCTTACAAGAAGTTTGGTGTTTGGGAACAATTCAGTCTGCCTGTTAAGTCTGCCTAGGACTTCAAGAGGTAGCTTGAGAGGAAAACTGATCAAAAAATAAAAAAATATTTCACATTTGCGTAGATTATTCACCCTATTTTTCAATGCGAAAGTAAGCTATTTCCTGAGAATGCACGGGACTTCTGAGTCATTAGCTGCTATAGGTAAATAACTAAAAAGTTAACAGTGCTGTAAACTCTAAAACTATTTGTGCAACTAACCAATGCATTCATGAAAATATGATAGCACTTTCCACAGCATAAGCGAATGACACTGGAAGCCTTGCTTATTCAAGTTAAAAATGACCATGTCTGCTCTTACGTAAAAATTAAGATAGATAAGCTTAGTTAGCAGGCTAATAAAAAAAGGTTAATGATATGCTATGCTAGTGTATTAAGTAACTAGCCTATAAAATGTAAGATTGCTAACACAAAGAACATTTATGAACAAAGTGTTTTTTTCAAAATCTATAGTTTTGCTTTCTATAGTATTGTGTAATAAAAAATATTAATGGTCATGATAACAGTTCAGACGGCATGCACCATGAAGCGATTTTGCAGTCAGTCAGTGAATAGACTACCCATTAAAAATTATTTTTGCCAATAGAATCGCTTTGAGGTCCTAGACGAACTCTTAACAGGCACACTGAATTGTTCATTACAGCGGCCCTAAATTTATCCATGAATCATTGCCACTAAAATAATATGAAAATAAATGTAAAAACTCAGCAGACTGACTAGTCGGTCGGATATCTAGTCCATGAAAACAGAAAGATCATACTCTGAATTTTGGATACATTTCTCACAACCTGTTTGAAGCAACTGTCTTCTTCTGTTTAAACACCTTCTGGGACTGTTATGATATCATGCTTAATTTGATTACCGCGCCGCTTTAGACCGGCTGAGGGAAAGACTAATAAACAAATGACCATCAGTCCAGTCACTGTTCACACGCATTCTTCTGGATCCTGTTTCTCCTTGTTTTTTTCCCACACGGCTCCGGTGGCCCACTGTAGTAGTCATGACAACCCCAGTAATTTGCGTTTTTGGCCGGTGTTTAGTCAGCGGTCCAGCAACAGGAAGTTTTTTATTGACATCTTCCCTCCAGGGGTCTTGTCTCACCCAGCCTCCCGCCCAGGAGTCTGGCTGTCTCTCTCCCACGGGCAGTACAATCCTGCTGGGCACAGCACCGCAGGAGACAGGGGAATGAGCTGGTGCTCAGGGGCTCGCTGAGGTTAGTTGGAGGCAGCACATGCTTGGGGGGAGGGAGAGGCAGTTATACGGGGCCAGGGTGAGGGCATTTGAGTGTGTATGTGTATGTGTGTGAGAGATATATGGGAGAGCGCCCTGCAAACATTCACACACACTTAAGAGCTGGGAAGGAAGGTGTAAGGTGCAAATGCTCCTAGAGGGGGAAGGGAGGGAAATTTGAGAAAATAAAGAACAGAGAGAGAGAGAGCTACTCTGGAACATGTTGAGGCATGCACAGCATGTCAGAGAGTCTGCCCCGTTGCTCTTTGAACTTAACCAAACCAAACAGGAAAATATGCCCACAATTCATATAAGTTGATTTGCAAAGAAATGAAATTTATTTCTGGGAATACACCCTGAGCGTCTGAAGATGTAGGGCGTTGCTTTGCCTGTTTTCCAGGCATGTGAAATGTGTTACTGCTTTGGCCGCACCAAAAGCTCAAAACATATTTCTAATGTTTAAAATGCTTGAACCTATTAGTGGTGATTTATTCCACTGACACTTTTGAATCTCACCTAAAAGATTTGTTCAGATTTGGTCACTGATTCATTTACAATACTATCTCTTTTTGCAGATTACGTTGTTACAGCACTATGTAGAGAAAGACAATTTTTTAGTATGTGTGTTACGAGTGAATCATTGAATCATTCAACCGACACATTTTGTTTTTCGTAACTCTGAACAACAAACTACACATCCCCTTCTGTTTGTTCAATCGGTTAGCAGAACCTCTTTCACAAACATGGTTGGTTTGGTTACCAAGTTCATTCAGTTTTTTTTAATGAATGACATAGTAAGACATTCAGATTCTACGTTAAGAGTCAGTGCATAGAAATCAAAGAGAATTGTTCGCCTAAAAGATTTTTTCAAAAGCACAAATTTTGTTCATAATTGAAACATCACTATTGCTCATACGTGCAGGATTTGTAATCTACCGTGCTACGAATGTGATTAATAGCATCATGGTAGCTCAAACAGTAGTGCATGGAGCTAGCGACACCAAAATCATGGGTTTGCTTCCCATGGAAAGCATGAGGAAAATGTGTAAACTACTTTGCATAAAGCCAAATGCATAAATGTAATGTAAGACTACAAATTTTACTTTTTGTTGAGGAGAGATGTGCTGTAACTAAGCAGTCAAGCTTGATTTTCACCCTGTGGACAGTTTGACTCAGTCACCACATAAAATGTAAAATCTAGTTATATAATTGATGTTCAAAGCAGACATGGTATTTTTATTGAACTGGAAATTTAATTTCAACTGTCTGAATTCTTTCCAGTTGCTGGAAGAGGTTTTTAAAAAAGCAGTGCATTGCAGGCATACAAACACACGCTCGACTCAGGAGAGTGGACTGTTGGAGCTGACCGAGTCCCTTGTCTTCCTGTTCAATTAAATCAGTTTGGCCAACAGTTGGATGGCACTGGACAGCTTTGAAAACAAATACAAATACAAATACCAAAAGCTGGACTGCTTTTACAGTGTTGAACAGATGCTTTTAAATGTCTGTGCTGGCCTGTTTTTTTTTATCTGCTTCTGCCATAGACTGCAGTAGTTTTGTATTTTGCATTCAAAGCTAACAAAGTCTGCTGAGTTCATTGGCAGGAAATAGTGTGTATGTCTGCATCTCTCTCTGTATGTGTTTGCATTCATCAGCTTATGCACCAGCATACCATTAAGCCGCCTCAAACGGGCATTTTCTGAGATTAACTGAAGATATCCAGAGGAAATTAATGAGCTGGTTAACGGATACCAGCTGAGATTGGACATGGCGTTCTAAGCATGAGTATATGCTCAACAAACCACCAGTGTCTGCTTAATGCTGCCTTCTCTGCTTGTTTGGAGCAGCTCCTGTACATATTTCTGTTCATATTGTTGACAAAAGTGTTTTGCTATTAAAACTGGTGTGCATTTTTGTAAACTTTTGATCTGTTCTTTTTTGGCTCTACAGTGTGCTTACAACACAACTGAACTAAACTGATCTACTGTCTTTTTAAATAATGTGAGAAGTAATCATTCCTAGGTCTGCAAACAACACAGTCAGATTAGACGATTGGACTAGCTTTGAGAAAAATCAAAATCAAGTTTATTTTGAGGCTATATAACCTGTCTGGCTATCGCATTCATGATGATATTTTTCATCAGATGTCATAAAAGAGAAATTATCTAGAAAAAAACGTCATTCCGCAATCATACAGAAAAATGCATAACAGTCTGTTCTCACCCCCGGAAACCCTTGCCGCACGTCTCTGAAAAGATTGCTTGACAGCTAAGCGCGCGGGGAATTACTTCAATTTTGTCAGCCAGTTGACTTAGATAGGAACACTTGCCCCCGTGTTCTGAACAGGAGATTTTTCTTTACCTCTGAACGGCGATTGATTGAAGCTCTCGCTATAATGAAGGTTTTCAATCACTTGTGTCAGATATTCTTGAGTGTGTTCTATTATTGTCCCGTGCACCTCTCTTAGTACCGCTCGTTTTGTCACTCTAATTGAAAATGTTCATTATGACACCGGCTCTCTTGGGTTTTGGGGTTATTCGACATGAAAGGAAAGAAGAAAACTAGAACTGAGTGAATGAATCTTTCCGCCCCCTCGATTACAGGCTTTTCTATCAGCCCCCTGAAGCTTTCTACCCAAACAAATCAAACTTTTAAGAAGGGATGTGCAAAGGTACATATTTTCAAAACCAACTAGTCTGTGGGTTGTCTGAACAACTAGGCAGCTAATTGGTCTAAAGAATATGATCTATAATCTGTCTGTCTATTCATATCCATCTATCGTTTGATGTGGGATCTACTTTGTAATATTTTGTGACAGTTTCTGAGTGAAAATTGTTTCAAAGAAACAGCAAGACCGAATCGAATACAATATTTTGAAGTAAAAAGACTGAAATCATATTTTGTTTTAAAATATACTCAAATATTCTTTTAATTACTAATTTGGAAAATCTTTAAAATAATTTGCAGAATGACAACAAACCACAGTTTATGGAGAAAGTCTACAAAATCAAACTCCCCGAGCGTGAAAAGCCAGAGAAAGAGCGTGCACTCAGGAGAGATCCTGTGTACCGCGTTATCGCTTCAGATCGAGATGAAGGGCCAAACGCTGAGATTTCCTACAGCATCGAGGACGGAGACGAACAGGGAAAGTTCTTCATTGAGCCCAAAACTGGCATGGTTTCCTTTAAGAAGTTTTCTTCTGCTGGAGATTATGATATCTTAACGGTGAGGATGTTCACATTTCTATAGCACATATTCCGTCAGTTTGTATTTGCACTTTTTGAAAGATTAGAAATGTGCAAATAGCAAGATATGAAAACCTGGATCCTTTTTATTGCGAATGTATTTGCTTACTAGCTTGAGTTTCAGCGTTTGAGGAGGCCGTTATTATGAGTTGTAATGTAGAAACCTGAGCTCTCAGATTTGACACACACTACATTTTTCCTGAATGTCTCTTTGATGGAAGTTTTACGAGTGTAAAGTGAACTTCCTGCGGGCCCATGTGGCCGGTGACATTTTTTGCCAGACCTCCCATTGTTTCATTGCCTAACATCTGTCGCTTTCCAAAGTCACAGTGACAGGTGTTCTGGTAGCATTCTGTAGTTCCCACATTTAGTAGTATCTCTCCCAGATTGGGCTTGAAGTGTGTGTGTCTTTTTGGTATCGCTAACAGATTTGCTCAAATTATTATTTTTCCCAAACATATGAATTCCAAAGCCGTACTGTAATTTACATTGCAGTTGTATTATTTGATTTGACCTATTCTGTTCAACATTTATCCACCAGATTAAAGCAGTGGATAATGGTCGACCCCAGAAATCATCCACCTGCCGTCTACACATTGAATGGATCCCCAAGCCGGAGCCGAGCGAAGCCCCTCTGGCATTTGACGAGCCATTTTACTCCTTTTCTGTCATGGAGAGTGACCCCGTGGCACACATGGTCGGGGTCATCACTATGGAATCTGTGGAAACACCAGTCTGGTTTGAAATAACAGGTATGGTGGCAGTAGATTTTGAAAGTTGTGTTGGTTTGGACTTTACATGCTGAAGCTTGAATTCTAATGAGCGTCTTTGTTAGTTCACAGCTTTTTAACAAACTAAGATGATGAAATCTTCTAATGAATCTCTTTGGAGGAAGTTTCTTTGCATGAAATAACCTCTAACTTTGTGTTTATCTTCTCAATAGAACTGTCATAATATGACTTAATAGTTTGCATCCTCTTCCTGTCCCTTTATCTTTTAACCAAACTTTCACTGACAACTTTTACTTTCTCTCTCTTCTCTACTTCTTATTTTTGGAATGGTTTGGTTTCTTCTGCTTCTCCTCTTGTTTGTCTTCTCAACAGGTGGTAATTCTGACAGTCGATTTGAGGTGGGGAAGGCGAGTGGGACAGTGATTGTGGCCCAAGCGCTGGATGCAGAGCAGAAATCCCATTACAACCTGACGGTGGACGCAACAGATGGCACCAGATCTGTCAGCATGCAGGTAATTGAATTGCTAATGAAGTGTTTATGGAAGCAGAGCATTGTGTGTTCACCATAGAGGCCTGGGCTTCTTTTTTGAGATCCCTATGAGGGGCAAAAAATGGCTCGGATTTTTTTGTACATGTATATTTCGCTGGTGGCAAGGAAGGAAAAGCAACCCAAGCATTTCCAACTTTCCAAATCGAGTTTCCTTCTTTGGCTGCACTGGCACTGTAGGTCCCAAAGGTCTTTCCTGAATAAGCTACAGGATTAAAAGAGGAGCACAACATATTGCTATTAATTCGGATGTAGATGAGTCAAGCTAAAGTCATTAATCCAAGTACATGTTTTGCAATGATTTTTTGAGGTATATTTGTAGATACATTCTGTACAAGTTCTGTGTGTGCCAGGTTATAAGCTGTACTAGGAAAAAGGTTCAAACTAGCAAGCTTTAGGCAGTTTTTCTGGTTAGATTCAGGTTAGCTATTGTAGACATTTTTTGATGTCTGAAGGTTCCCTAAATGTTCTTCAAATACCTCACGTCACAACATGCTGGCAGACATTCCTTGGCCTGCCGGTTGGAGAGTTTTTGGCCAGGGTTCCTGGAATCTTCCATTGTCTCATTCCTGGACCGTGTGAGGAGGATGAAGCTGTCTGGCTCCCTGCATTTTAATTTTGCTTTCTCTGACAGTCTGACTGTCTTTCTTTAATTCAGGTCCATCTGCCATCAGTGGTTCAACCGTAATGTTATGAAGCGACGAGAATACTTTTTGTATGCGAAGAAAACAAAATTAAAGACTTTATTCAACAATTTGTCTCCTCTGTCGCTCCGCATCACCGTAGTGCCATTTTGGAGAATATCCGCTGAACGCAAGCAGCGTATGCTATTCTGTGTCAGCCGCGCTGCACAGATGCGCTGTTTTCGTTCAAACAAAATGGCGCTACGGTGATGCGGAGAGACACAGAGGAGACAAATTGTTGACTAAAGTCTTTATTTTTGTTTTCTTCGCATACAAAAAGTATTCTCGTCGCTTCATAACGTTACGGTTGAACCACTGATGGCAGATGGACTATTCTGACGATGTCTTTCATTCTTTTCTGGACATTGGCAGTGTAATTTACTAGGCAGTCAATGGGACAGTCACAAGCCTCCCGGTTTTCATCCAAAATATCTTAAATTGTGTTCCGAAGACGAACAAAACTTTTAGGGGTTTGGAACGACATGGGGGTAAGTGATTAATGACAAAATTTTCATTTTGGGGTGGAGTATCCCTTTAAGGGATCTAAAGTTTGGTCATGCAGAATAAGGCATTAATGTGTGCTTTGTAAGTGCTAATAAACAGTCAATATGCTAGTAATATGCATGTTAATAAGCAACTATTTAATCGAGAGAATTGGTCCTTAAAATTACAGAAAATGTATTTATTTGACTTTTCATTACTATAATGTCTGTAGATCATTCATAATATATGAGATATGTTTTACATGATTCAGATTATTTGACATAAGAGGAAAGATAATTTTCATTAAAATAATGTGAAAATCATATTCTTTTTGCTAAATATTAAATATAATTATAATAAAAATGTAATTCAGAATATAATTTATTTATTTTTTTTTTCCTTTTTTTGTGGTGAAACATGACCTGGACATTGTCTTCTAACTGATACCATAAATAAAACCCCTATTCAATTTCAGAGTCTATAGCTTGTTTTAACATTTTCCAGGTGTCTTAGTACTGGTTTAACTGTACTAGACTAGGAAAGACAGTTTGTTTTTCCTTTGCAGGCGTCCTCGGTACATTAGACCACCCTGACAGGAGTTTTCAGTCTGTTGGCTAATTAGTAATGACAAAAGTCAGTTTATACGCAACACTTTCAAATACCTCTGTAAATGCTCAGGCAGGTGCTAGAAAGAAAACGAGGCCAAACGAACAAATCAGGCAAATATTTGCCCTTAAAACATTAAAGAGACGATATTAAGTGCACGCCAGCAAGCTTTCATCTCGCCTTACAAAACAAGAGAACGATGGATGGGTAATATATAACCTGCTTGAAACTTGTTTCATCTTTGATTTCTTCATTGACCAACTAATGAGTTTGGAACCTTGTATTTGGATGCAGCTGTGTTCCAAAACAAGTGCTTCTCATAGCCAAAGTCAATTTTAGCATGTGATCCAGCGAGTATATCTGCAACAATATCATGCGCCAGTTGTGTTTTAAAGAAAACCGTCTTAAACAGATTACAGCTGACAAGGAGTGGATTTTATTTATTTGTATGAATTTGTTACCCTTGCAACCCGACTAACACACATTTTGAATCACAAATCTGCATTCAGGCTCTGCTTTTGCCTTTGTATGTCTAGTGACCCTCTCCTGAAACGATTAGCTCTCTCCTCCTCGTGGAGCCAGCCGCATATCTTTGTTTAAATCAAAGTCATGTGTATTCCACATGGGCTTGCCAGACCTTCTCCATGCTCTATTTTCATTATTTTTGCCACTTATCTCCACACTTTTTTATCTCTCTTTCACCCCAATCTCAACAAAAGCACCACATTTCAGACAGGCAATGAGGGATTATGATTATTTTGGAAGGGAAGAAAAGAATGCAGAGGGGGAGGAAAATGTATGCTGGGTGTAATCCTATTTTAGGCCTTCTGAGAGAATGTGTGGCAACTCTATGTGTTTGTGACTGTGCCAAAGTCATTTTCCCTAAGACATGTCAAATACAAAGAAATATGGGGATCTGGGTGAACAGTGCCCATTTCTGCCTGTGATTTCTTTTGAGGGAGCGCTCTTGAGAACAATATCCATCATTGAGTTTTCCCTTAGACGAAAATGATTGGATAACTCAAGGCTGTACTTACATTTGCGAGTGAAAATTACTGTGCGAATGTGAACTTTTTTTTGCTGTAACATTGTAACTGATTTTACTGTGACTTTTGGTCAATTTAACACATCCTTACTGAATAAAAGTATCAGTTTTAAAGAAAAAAGTACTGACCCCAAACTTTCAGAACAATAACTGTGTACACCACAAATACCTGTCCCTGGCACAATAAAGATGTTAAATCCAATAAATAGTATGCATGTAATTGCATAAGAGAGTTTTCAAGGTATGTGCATGCTTGTGATTCAGCAACACCCTGCTTGAGACAAACAAGGCATTGAGGCGGCCACGAGGGTCAAGCATTAGAGATCGGCTGAGCAAATTGGGTTACAGCTGCAAAACGAAACAATTTTCAAAAAGCCTAAAATGTGACCAATTTTAAAAAGTCTGAAGTCTAAAATTACATCTCTTGCTTAAAGTAGCACTGGTATGTTCCATGTTGCTGTTGTTGAGATGTTTTAAGTGGTAGGAGTTTATAGCAGGAATTTCTCTTCAATAATAGGCTGCTAGCTTCTGGAATAGCCCCCCTCAGGGATCATCTGATGTATGTGTATATATATCACTTTCACACATACAGAGCTCATTTTCATATAGTGTTACAGTCCTTTCTGCTTTTATCGCTCTCTTGCTCTTACTTCTTGTGCCTCACTTCTATTCCTCATCTTTCTCCTTTTCTGTCTTTCACACGCACATCCTTCTTTATCTGTCATTCACACTCTGATCTTTTCCTTTAATCACTCCCTCACTCACCACTTCCTCTCGAATCCCTCCATCTGTCCTTCTTTCTGTGTGTGTGTTAGACATTAGTGGAGCTCCTTTGAGTTTTATCCCATACATTTACATTACAGTCATGGAAGCCTGTCGTGCTGATTCTCAAGCATCATTGAAAGCAGGCAGGATATAAACAAATACAATCTACTAGCTTCATCTATTTACACCGGTGCTTTCAGTTGACTGTTCCAAAGAGAAATAAGGATTTGACGGGAATTATGTTTTATGAAGTATTCAAAACTATTACAAAAGCTAATAGCGAATCAGCATAATTTTAAGACATCAAAAATATATAATTTTATTCTAAATTTTTTATATTTAAGTTTGGGGTCGGTAAAAGGAAATTAATACTTTTATTCCACAAGGATGCATTAAATTGATCAAAAGTGACAGTCAAGGCTTTTACATTGTTTAAAAAATCTATTTCAAAACTCTTTTCAACTGTGATGTTAATAAGAAATGATTCATCAGCACCAAATCATCATATTAGAATGATTTCTGAAGAATCATGTGACACTGAAAATTCAGCTTTGTCATCATAGAAATAAATTGCATTTTAAAAACATTAAAACACGTACACGCTGGGTATTTCTCAGAGAAATATTTCACTGAGAAATGCCCGAAGAAATGCTTATTTACAAGACTTCTGTAATTGAGCCCTCAGAAATGTATTGAATATTATCAGTTAGGATTATGTGTACATGTATAATATATTGATAAGGTTTTAATGTATTTATATTTATTGACATATGACTGTAGCAGTCACTCATCCCAAGTTTACGGTATATGAGAATCTCAGATGTTTGTAAATATGATGCAAATACGATGCAAATAAAGTATAAGGCTTTGTAGATGATGCGCTTTTTATGGATGTTGCTAGGTAATTCATTCAGTTATAACTCTGTGATATACCAGAACTGTCCCACATATTCCAACTTTCTCTCCCGACCAGTCACTTGAAAACATACGTGACTAGTCTAGTGGGACACATATGTGGCCAATCCATTTGTGAGGATTCTGGTTTGAATCAGTGGATCCACAGAGCTGTGAGCTTTTGTTTGTTTTATGTGAAACAGCGCCCCCTGATGGCTGGCATGCATGTCTAACTTTAACGATCCAATCCATTTCACCTTCTTTGTTCTCCATCCTGGCTTTATATAAGCATGTCTGATCGTATGAAGACAGATTATTTAAGCATGCACTCATTTTACACATCAATTCTAACTGCTTTGGTTGTGTTGAGTGTGGAGCTTCCTGTCCACTCACTAATCCTCACCTCGAATGCAAATAAATGGTTGACTTTGATTTAAAAAAAAGATGTTAAATGTGTGAACACAGTTGATGTTAAATGTGTGAACACAGTTGATGTGTTTTTTTTTTTGTCTCAGAATGACAGCTCATAAATGATATTACTGCATTAGCCTATGTACAAGAAGTGTGTGTATTGAGAATTGCTAAAAAGTCAAAACACTCATAAGTATGCAGTGGAATAACCTTGGCATTTCACTCACTGTAGGACTTTAAACTGTTAATGAAACACATCCTTGTGCATTCACGATACAATAATTTGTAACCAAAGAAAATGTCAACATGCAGTGTTATCAGAACCAGCCACAACTCATTTGAATTCATGCTGGGTTTTTAACATTCTTTGCTGAATGTAAGTCATAAGTAACCAGGCATTTAAATTATTACAGGTTTGATCTGGTTAATATCAAAGCAGCTGTGATAAGAGTTCTAAACCCCTGAGGTCTAAGATGGCAAACATAAGTTCAATGTCATGATGTGCAATTTTTATGAATCAACTAGTCTATGTATAGTCTGAACAACTAGTAGTTGACTAATATGTGTTAAAAGAAGTGCTTAATATATGAATCATGTGAACTAAACATTGATCAGACAGCGCAGCAATATATTTAATGTGGTAACTGACAGATATTCAGACAACTATAACACTTCATTCAACTTTGCGCTCAACCATCACAGTCCTCACAAACAAACGGAGACCTGCAGATTATGCATAACCTTGCTCGCAGCAGGTTATTTGAAGTCTACTAGTAATTGTCTAGAAATATATTGTTGAAAGCAATTAATTTGTTACAAAAGCGGTGCTTTGATGGCTCTGGTGGCGGAGCTTTAAAGAGAATGAATTTAGACACACAGCTTACCTGTGAGGGTTTACCTGAGCTGACAGGCACATAGATGTGAGGTTTTGTCTTTTAATTAATCCTTTTGAAATAATTTGCAGTAACACGTAACAAAATATAGATAAACTCACTAGTCAACCTCATTAATCACTAGATGGTTGTTAAACTGGCCTGTCCTTACTGACCTGCTGATTTTTCTCTCGTTTAGGAGTGCTCCAATCAGGATTTTTGAGGCCGATCACCGATCACAGAAAGCAGTATCTCATTTTCGTGTCAATCCATGTTCATATTTACTGCAAAAAATGCACTGTTACTTTAATTCAGCGCTTGCAGCGCAGCAAAAATAGACTCGGTGTGGAAACGATCTCTGCACCGCTCTTAGAGCGCACTGCCGGACAGCAACCATGTGCAGTGTGCGCGCTTTATTAATCTGTTAACATGAGCGCGGGAAAAAATACGCACCACATTCGCACTGCAAACGGAGTAATGTGAACCTGGCATTATGTGTGTGCGCTGCGAGTGTGCATGAGCGGGCGCTGCCAGTGTGCATGAGCGCTCAGTCTCCAGGAGAGTGCGTGAGTGCTAGATGGTTAAACACTGGCAAGAATTAAAAAGTAATGCAATTTATAAACTTTAGTGATGATGTGACACTGCCTCGATTGTGCAAGTGACAATTCCTGTGTCAACTGTGCAGCGTGCAGCTCGCTTATAGATAGACGCGATGTGGTGATTGGAAGACATTTGCGTATTTTGAGAGAGAGCGCGCGCACTGATTCACTCACGCTGTTTGTGAAATTACGTCTCACACAAGGTTTTCAAATTACTTTATAAGTTATTTAATTAAGAAATATGAAGGTGAGTACCTCACCTTCAGCATTATAATTATTTCACCCGCAGAGCCTGGTGACAGAGACTGAGACGGTGCCGCTGCATGTCGTGCCAAACCTTTTCACGGCAGGCGCGTCATCAGCTTGAGATCGTTTTTTTGAGATCGGCCTTTTTAGAGACCGTCGATCAATCATCCCAAAGCGATTATCGGCCGATAGTGATCGGTAGCCGATCAATCGGAGCACCCCAACTCTCTATTTTGTAAATTAACAGTTATGTTCCAGAGTTTTGCAAAGTAGGTTGTATGTGGGTGTTTTAATGGATCTTTTAAGAGCATTGATACATTTAGGACATATTTATTCTCTTGCTCGGTTTCTTTTACCCCACTTACAGTGATTGTTGTTAGCCAGATATTTTATTTGTTTAGTGTATGTAATGGTTTTAACCATTCATTATAGAATACCAATCATGTTATCATAGTAATACAGTACACTTCAAATTTAACTTGAAACGTACTTGCTATTATTATTCATTAAAAGAAATTGTCCCACTGTAACTAGATCATTAAACAAGGCCTTATTTATTTACTTATTGTTTGTTTTTACAGGTTCTTATTAAAGTGATCGACACCAACAATCATCGCCCCCAGTTCTCTAAGTCTAAGTATGAAGTGAATGTCCCTGAAGATACCCTGCCTGACACAGAGGTGTTACAGATTACAGCTACAGACCAGGATGAGAAGAACAAGCTAGCCTACACCCTCCTCAGTAGCACTGACCCATTCAGTCTACGCAAGTTCAGACTAGATCCTGGAACTGGGGTGTTGTACACTGCAGAGAGACTAGACCATGAAACCATGCACCAACATACACTAACTGTCATGGTAAGATCATGTGGTCTGCTACCTGCTTTACAGCATCATCTGTCAAATTGATTTTTCTGTCTGATTTAAAAATTTTAGCCAGTCAGCCATTCTTCACCATAAACTATCCTGGCAGTTTGTTTTCTCTTTAATTCAATCGACACGGAGGTGAATCTCCTGAATGTAAAGTGTTTTATTTGTTTCACATAAGCTTATAACTAAAGTGTTGAAATTACTGGAGAATTGCTTTTTATATAGCCCTTCCTCTGCCCTCCACACTGCAGGTACGAGATCAGGACATTCCTGTGAAGCGGAACCTGGTGCGTGTGATTGTAAATGTGCAGGACACCAATGACAATGCACCTTGGTTCTCTGGTTCACCATATGTGGGCCGTGTGTTTGAGTCTGCTGCAATTGGCTCTGCAGTGCTTCACGTCTCTGCTCTTGACAAAGACAAAGGGCAGAATGCTGAGATCATCTATAGCATTGAGTCAGGTAAATCCATCTGATTGATTTGATTGCTCTTGACTTTTATCCAATTTGTCCAGGAAACTACAGATTGTATACATATGATGTATGAAATGTCTGAACACTGGAAAGCCAATAGTAATTAGAAACAGACAAAGCTTACAAGTCTGTCCTGTCTTTATTTCTTTGTTTCAACATGGGATATTGCTAAGAGATCCACAGGAGTGGCCCATGCTGGCCACTTAGAGTTAAAAATGTGGGAGATATTGAATGTGGCAGCCAAGGGTCCTGCAGTCCACCAAACTGTGAGAGTTTTGAAAGCAGAACATAGCACAGATTAGTTTTGTCACGGTACCAAAATTTCAGTATCCGGGACCAATACCAGTTAAAATCCATGGTTCTCGGTACCAAAGCAAAACACAAAAACAAGCTAATTAAAAAATTTGACTATACTTTCATTTAATCCAAACTGTGTACATATTTAATTTTAAAGGGCTTTTAAACCCTTCGAGAGTTATTCAGCCAAGAATAACAACTAACTAAGTTAGCTAAAAAAAAAAAAAAGCCCTGAACTGCTTTTCTAACTGATGTGACACAAACAATGTTAACCATTTGTACATTCTCTAACACGCATATTTTAGATTCACAATTAATTTAAAAGCCTCTGGTGTGTAAAAATAGTTAATATCATCATGTCCTCCTGTTTTTTTACCCAAATAAAAGTTATAGGAGCATTAAATAGTAATGCTCATTATATTAGCGTTAGCCGCGTTTATGTTAACGATGAACTACTCTAATAACAGCGATGTTCGTTTCAATCCGACATTCAAATTAAAATATTGAATAATATTTTTTGGAAAATCTATTTGTGGTGGTGAGTTTTGATATTGTGGCGGGCAGCCACAAATAAATCAATGTATGGGATGAAATTAAACTTACCTGCTTGAACTCTTTCATTTGATCTGGGTGTCTGTCTTTAAAGTGTTTTGTTAGTTTGATGTGTTTCATCATTTTGATGTCGCCACGTCTCAGTGGTTTTATGAAGACAGCGCATCTGCGCACCTTTCGGATAGCACATCAAGAACCAGGTCGGTACCACCGGTACTTTAAAATAGAAGAGGATAGCTTTCGGATAGCGCTTCAAGAACCGGGCTGACCGGGTACTCGGTACCACCGGTACTTAAGAAAACCTGGTACCGTAACGTTTTCATTTTTTTAGTATCGACTTGGTACCAAAGTACCGGGTCTTTTGACAACACTAGCACAGATATGACGCCAAGTGGCCTTTTGAGAATGCACATATTTGAAATGTCTGAGATTACAGAAGCTAATTGAAATGTACTGTACTGTACCGTATGTGTGTGTGTGTGTGTGTGTGTGTGTGTGTGTGTGTGAGACAGCAAACATTGTTCAGGTCACATACTGAATGACTCACGCTCAGGCAGCTGATTAGATGCTTACTGTCTTTGACAAACTCAAATATTAATTATAGATAAAGCGAAACAAACAAAATGCATGTCATTTTTAACTTTAAATCAATGCATCCATGATTTTCCTAAATTAAATTTATTCTTTAAAGCAGTTTGACACAAAATGTTTAAATTAACGAGTTCTAAAGAGTTCTGAAAAGTCAAATCTAATCCTTTTAGCAAGTGTTTGATGCATCTTTGTCATATTCCTTCCTAGGAAATGTGGCCAATTCATTTGCTATTGATCCTATCCTGGGCACCATCACTGTGGCAAAGGAGCTGGACCGTAGCAACAAGAACCGATTTGAGCTAACTGTGAAAGCCTCTGACAAAGGCACACCACCACTTATTGCTACTGCTGCTGTGGACATAACTGTCACTATTTCTGACAATGCCATTCCTAAATTTGAAGAGAAGGAGTTTTCTGCTGAAGTCAGCGAAAACACTCTGCCTGGAGCCTTTGTGTGTCTAGTTACCGCCAATAGCAAATCATCAGTGTTCTATCAGATCAAAGACGGAAATGTGAAGGGAGCATTTGACATTAACCCCAACTCTGGAGTGGTTGTGACCCATTCAGTTTTGGATTACGATACTATTCCATCATACAAACTAACCATTCAGGGAACCAACATGGCCGGTCTGGCTAGTAACACTACTCTACTGATTCACTTGAAGGATGAGAATGATAATGCACCTATATTTATTCAAGATGAGTTCACTGGAATGGTCAGCGAGTCTTCTCCAGTGAACAGTGTAGTCCTCACCAAAGACAACACACCACTTGTCATCCGTGCTTTAGACACTGACCACGATGCTAACTCTAGACTGGTCTATCAGATTGTTGAGCCATTTGCCCATAATTACTTTGCCATCGACTCTAGTACTGGTGCAATCCGAACCATCAGCGAATTGGATTACGAGCAAAGATCTGTGTTTCGCTTTTCTGTACAAGTACACGACATGGGAATCCCCCGTCATTTTGCAGAGAAGGCTGCTAACGTGACTATTGAGATCCTGGACGTCAATGACTGCCCGCCTCAGTTCAACCAAGATCTATATGAAACCACAGTCTTAGTGCCAACTTACAAAGGAGTGGAAGTGATCACAGTCAATGCCACAGATGCAGACTCAGGTCCAAATTCAAGGCTCTTTTACTCTATTGTCAAAGGCAATATTGGAGAGAAGTTTAAAATGGACCCGGCCACAGGGGTTATCACTATTCAAAATGTCACTCAGCTTAGAAGCAGGTATGAGCTCAGAGTAAGGGTGTCTGATGGCAGGTTTTCTAAAACGGCTTTGGTAAAAATAAATGTCAGAGAGAATAAGGAGAGTACTCTGAGGTTCACCCAAGAATCATACAAGGCCTCTGTACCAGAAAATTCCTTAGAGAAGAAGACTTTAGCTGTAATAGTTGCAGTGGGAAACCAAGTCAATGAACCTTTGTTTTATAACATTCTGAACCCTGATAAGAGATTCACAATAAGCCGTACTTCGGGAGTACTCTCCTCTACAGGCATACCCTTTGATCGAGAAGAGCAAGGCATATTTGATATTGTGGTGGAGGTGACCAGAGAAGACAAGTTATCTGACATAGCCCATGTCCTTGTAACTGTGGTAATCGAAGATGTCAATGACAACCCACCGGTGTTTGTCAATTTACCCTATCAGGCACTGGTGCAGGTTGACACAGAAGTGGGTCACATCATCACAAAAGTGACTGTGGTTGATGCAGATGTTGACAGAAATGCTGAGATCAACTACCATCTTCAGGAGCTAAATGAGTTTGTTCAGATCAGCATGGATGGTGAAATCTCACTAACAAAGAAGCTTGAGAAAGACTCCCTTAACACTGAATTTGTAATCACCATTGTAGCCAGAGATGGAGGTGAACCAGCACTTTCCTCATCTGTTGAAGTGCCAATAATGGTTGTAAACAAAGCAATGCCTGTGTTTGAGAGAGCCTTCTACAGTCTGGAGATCCCAGAGAACATACCGTTACTGACACCTGTTGTACACATCCAGGCTAATGACTCTGAAGGCCCTAGAATAGTGTACACAATCACAGAAGGGGACCCTCTCAATCAGTTCTCCATCAACTTCAATACTGGTGTTATTCAGGTTGTAAAGCCTTTGGATTTCGAGACCCACCCAGCCTATAAGCTCAGCGTAAGGGCCACCGACTCGCTAACCGGTGCCAAAGCTGAAGTCTTTGTTGACGTGATCTTGGAAGACATTAATGACAACCCACCTGTGTTCCATTGCAAACTGTACAATGCAAGCCTTTCGGAAGCATCAGTGATCGGCACGTCCGTATTACAAGTATCAGCTACAGATGCTGATACTGGTAACAAGCAAGTGCTCTTTTATCAGATCATTGAAGATAAAGATAAGAGCTCTGATTACTTTAGCATTGATCATGACACGGGCACAATCTGGACTACTCAGATGCTTGACCATGAAGAAAAACCCTCACATAAGCTGATAATTAGAGCAGTTGATGGTGGAGTACCTGCCCTTTCCAGTGAGGTTACAAGTATCAGCTACAGATGCTGATACTGGTAACAAGCAAGTGCTCTTTTATCAGATCATTGAAGATAAAGATAAGAGCTCTGATTACTTTAGCATTGATCATGACACAGGCACAATCTGGACTACTCAGATGCTTGACCATGAAGAAAAACCCTCACATAAGCTGATAATTAGAGCAGTTGATGGTGGAATACCTGCCCTTTCCAGTGAGGTCATTGTGTTAATTGATGTAACAGACCTTAACGACAACACTCCACTGTTCTCACAGAATGTCTATGAAGCTACGGTCAGTGAACTGGCACCTCGTGGCCACTTTGTAACCCAGGTTCAGGCTTCCGATGCTGACAACTCAAATAGTGGTAAACTTGAATTCTCAATTATATCTGGAAATGAGGGGCAAAACTTTGCAATAGATCCAAACACTGGGGCTATAGTCATATCAAACCACCGGAAACCCCATATGGAGTCCCTCTACAACATCAATGTGTCTGTATCAGATGGTGTATTCAGAAGCTCAGCTATTGTCAAGGTCAATGTTATTAGTGCTAACTTCCACAATCCTACATTCAACCAGGTGGATTATGTGGTTGAGCTTCTTGAGAACTCTCCAGTTGGAACATTGGTAGCTGAGGCTCAAGCAACAGATGAGGACTCTGGTACATATGGAAGACTCAATTATCATATAGTCAATGACATTGCAAAAGACAAGTTCTCAATCTCTGAAAATGGAGAGATCTTCACTTTGGAGAGTCTTAACCGAGAGAATGCACTGGAAAAAGTAATTCTGATTTCTTTGATTGCTAAAGATGGTGGTGGCAAAGTTGGCTTCTGCACTGTAAATGTGATCTTAACCGATATCAATGATAATACCCCGCAGTTCAGAGCTGCTGATTACAGAGTTAATGTTGCTTCCGACATGCCAAGAGGAACAACCATACTTAAGATTGCAGCGTCCGACATGGATGAAGGTAGTAATGCAGACATCACCTATTCTATTGAAGGAGACGCAGACAATGTTGAGGAGAATTTCGAAATCCACCAGTTTAGTGGTGTCATTGTAACAAAGGAAAGCCTCATTGGATTGGAGAACCAGCTCTACACATTTCTTGTACGAGCAAAAGATGGCGGAAATCCTGCTAAGTCCTCTGTTGTTCCGGTTTATGTCAAGATTCTTGTTCCCGAGGTTCCGGTGCCAAAGTTCATAGAGTCCCACTACAGGTTTGCCATAGATGAAGATCTTCCTCTTGGTTCAGAAATAGATGTCATTCAGGTCGAAAGTGATCAGCCAGTCTTTTACAGCCTGGTGAAAGGGAATACTCCTGAGAGCAACCAAGATGAGGTATTTGTAGTTGATCCCAGCTCAGGATCTTTGAAGCTGGAGAAGAAGCTTGACCACGAGAGCACCAAATGGTATCAGCTAACCCTACAAGCACAAAGCGAATATGATGGTAACAAAGTTGTCTCTGCTGTGGACATCAGTATCCAGGTCAAGGATGTCAATGATAATCGACCGCTCTTTGAGTCAAACCCTTATGAAGCCTTCGTTGTGGAGAATCTCCCAGGTGCCACCTCTGTTATACAGGTAAAGGCCACAGACTTGGACTCGGGCACTAATGGCCATGTGGTTTACAATCTCGATTTCAACCAAGAGACAAGGGACATTGCAGAACTGTTTGCCATTAACAGTGAAACTGGATGGATTACCACATTAAAGGAACTTGACCGTGAGAAGAAAAACAAGTACACTGTTTCAGTCTTAGCCACTGACCGTGGAGACAAAGTCCAGCTGATGGCCAGTACCAAGGTGGATGTCACAGTGGTAGATGTAAATGACAACCCACCAAGGTTCACAGCAGAGATCTATAAAGGCACAGTAAGCGAAGATGACCCACCTGGTGGAGTCATTGCCATTCTTAGCACTACAGACCTGGACACAGAGGAAAGTAACAAGCAAATCAACTACTTTATCACAGGTAAGTCTTATGTTGATTTTGTACCTCTAGTTTAATTTTAGCTGTTACATGCCACCATTGTCATTTCAGTTGTATTTGATGGAATAGTTTAACTTCACAAATTTATGATGGAATAATTTATAGTAAATAATAATAATAATAAATAATATTTGGGGAAATCACTTACAGCTAAAGCAAAATATCCTATGATGTGCTACAAAATTGTCAAGAGATTATAAATAGAAAACTGGATAATTTTCCCAATGACACTTTTGAAACAAAGCAAGAATGTTTCAGCTCTGGTGATAATTAATTAACGCGAACATCGATGCCAAGCATGAGATGAGATGAGCACTTTCTGGCAGAGAACTGTCTCATTACATCCACTCGTCTTCGCCTGATCGTAGAGTGATGACAGAAATTGGCATAACAAGTCACACAGCCACTTATTTACATAGACGCTTTGTGTTAATATTGTGAAGTCCAAGCAAACAAGAAGTAAAGCTTCATGAATGCCGTGGAGTACACATGGCACAGATATCTCACAATAACTTGTGAAATATAAGTAGTTATAAATTTAGCCATTACTGTAGCTACTGCACTTACAACAGGAAACCACACAAATAAATAGTAATTTTATCTGCCATTCGCATTCATTAGTTTGACTGACATTTCTCATGTGTGCTCTCTAAAGGTGGAGACCCCTTGGGGCAGTTTGGCATTGAGCATACTCAAGGCGAGTGGAAGGTCTCGGTGCGGAAGCCTCTCGACAGGGAGGAGAAGGACAATTACTTGCTGAACATTACGGCAACTGACGGGACCTTCACAGCCAAGGCTGTGGTTGAAGTCAAGGTCTTGGATGCCAATGACAACAGCCCAATTTGTGAGAAGGTATGAATGTTAGTTTTGTGTGTATGTGTGTGTGGGAAGTGCATTGCAGCAAAATGTCATGTAGTCTGATTCTGTCAGTTAAGGGGAGGGCACAGCCTACCCGCTGTGCATGCTAAATGGGACGAGACTTGGAGAGAAAGACAGAATGTCAGGAGGGATTTGAAAAGGTCCTTATGTGAAATGCAGTAATTTTGCACTGTGAGAGGGTTTTGTGAGGGCTAATGTGCTTCTTTTACGTATTGTGTTCCTTTTTGAATAATGTTAATTTAATAGAACTCCTGCGGTGAAAATCTTTTAGCACTTTTTTCAATTTGGGGTCACAATTACCACCAAACTCCTTTCTCTTTACTTTCATTTCTCTCTCCTTTTTGGCCCTGTCATCCCATTTGTGAAGTCACTTCTGCTTTTCACATGCCTCCCTTTCTGTTCTTTGCAGTCATTCTATATGGAAAGCGTCCCAGAGGATTCCCCTGCTGGTAGGCTTATCCTGCAGGTCTCTGCCACAGATGCTGACATCCGTTCCAATGCACAGATCTCCTACGAGCTGCTCGGGGCCGGATCAGAGCACTTTAGCATTGACTCTGAGACAGGTACGCATTAGGATTTAGTATTTGTATAGCTATATATTTAGTATTAGTATATAGTATATTATATATATATATATATATATATATATATATATACACTAAATATATATTACACGATGATATATCACAAA